GAGTGGCAAACAGGCATCACACCCAACACTCTGGGGTGAATGGTCCGTCCACTGGAATTAAGGCTCTGCTCTCCAACTTCCCCACAACTTCTATTTTAGGTAAGTCAAGGTCATCTGGGGTGGCAGACTGTGCTCCCACAAGTAAAATATGAGATCCAATACCCCACTTTCCATAGTTTGCATCATGCAGCCTTTTTATCCAAAGATCTGAAGCTTCTGAGCTGGAACATTTTACCTCAGTCATCTGAGTTGCCAGCTAGAAAGCTGTGGGCCAAATCTGTAGTCCACTTTTCTAACTGGCATTTTGTGTATAGAGTTCATTTCTGGTTTAGTATTTTCATTTTCCTTTACTCAGATCTTCTTATTTTTTTCTCATCGTTTTTTTTTTAATTGAATCTTAGCAGTGTGCATTAATACTATCTCTTCTTATTTTAAATAAATTTCATCATGTTGTATTGTATGCATCTCTGCAAGCCCTCTTAAAAAGCTTCCTGTGAAAGCCAGTTATGGCGGCTCACACTGTAGCACTTTGGGAGGCTGAGGTGGTTGGACTGCTTGAGCTCAGGAGTTCAAGACCAGCCTGAGCAAGAGCAAGACCCGTCTCTACTAAAAATAGAAAAACTAGCTGGGTGTTGTGGTGGGTGCCTGTAGTCTCATGTACTTGGGAGACTGAGGTAAGAGGATCTCTTGAGCCCAAGAGTTTGAGTTTGCTATGAGCTATGATGCCACAGAACTCTACCCCAGGGTGATGAAGTGAGACTCTGTCTCAAAAAACAAACAAAACAAAAACCTTCCTGGGAGGAGGGAATGCATTAACAAACTTTAGATAAACCATATTATAATCAGGTTAAATTTGGGTGAATCTTGTCTACAATATATCACAGGCTGATTCAAGTCAAAGATAACAGGGATTTAAAAGATGGTAATGTTTCTTAGCCAATTCATAGTCTCCCTGAGCAATATTCCACTTAAAGGAACCTGAATTTCAGTAGTTAAAAAATGAAAGATGGGCTCGGCGCCTGTGGCTCAAGCGGCTAAGGTGCCAGCCACATACACCTGAGCTGGCAGGTTCGAATCCAGCCTACGCCCACCAAACAACAATGACGGCTGCAACCAAAAAATAGCCGGGCGTTGTGTCATGTGCCTGTAGTCCCAGCTACTTGGGAGGCGGAGGCAGGAGAATCACTTGAGCCTAGGAGTTGGAGGTTGCTGTGAGCTGTGATGCCATAGCACTCTACCCAGGGTGACAGCTTGAGGGTCTGTCTCCAAAAAAAAAAAAAAAGATGGATTCAAATTGGCTGAAAGAATGTTTTCCAGAAGCTTCTGAATTTACAAAAAAGTTCATTTAAAAAATCAGATCAGGATGGCACCTACAGCTCTATGAGTGGGGCGCCAGCCCCATATACTGAGGGTGGAGGGTTCAAACCTGGCCCTGCCCAAACTGCAACAAAAAATAGCCTGGTGTTGTGGTGGGAACCTATAGTCCCAGCTACTTGGGAGGCTGAGGCAAGAGAATCACCTATGCCCATGGAAGTTGCTGTGAGCTGTGACGCCATAGCACTCTACCGAGGGCAACAAAGTGAGACTCTGTCTCTAAAAATAAATAAATAAATAAAAAATCAGATCATTCAGGTTACAAAAGGAGCCTGATTAGAGAGGTGCATGGTCACAGCACGTTACAGCATCTAGGATAACCAGAGGTGGAATCTTTATTTCACAAGTTTCAAGATACAGTACAAAATGAATCTGTACATCTCTCTATTAACAGGATTTGTTTACACAATTATATTACACTTCACCAGCCTTTATACTGCATTTCATTAAATACAAAATAAATTTACAAAAAAAGTCTACCATGGTGTTCCTTCACAAAGCCAGCTTATGGTTTTTTAAAACTTCCTCTCCTAAATATTCGTAGTGGTTACACCTTGATCATATTAATTAAGTTTTATAATTTTTTTTAAATCAAAGAGACTAGCGTCAGCCTATTTGTCAGAACAAATAGGAAAAACAGCTCATGTCAGATGGCTCCATGCACATAACCAAGGGATCCTTCTCATGCACACAAAATCAGATTTTTACTTGTGCCAACAGCCACTTTAAAATATAAATCATTTTTTTACTTGAGATCATTTAAAATTCTCTTGGAGCATAAAGTGGATGGAGAGATTTAGCTTCTTTTCAGTGAATACCATACATTTAAAAACTAGATAGTGCCTCAGACAATATAGAATTCAGAAATTGTATATTTTCACTTTTGAGAGCGATGACTGCTGAAAAATGTTTATGTGAAAATAGAAGCATTCTTTTGCTCTAATTTTTTTCTTGCATACTTCTGGTCATAATATTATGTAATATGTATTAGAGTCACTTTGAAAACAAACACCAGCTGTCTTTGGAGCAAGTACAGTCCTGCTCTTCTTGGCAGGTAAAGGGGCTATTTGCCCAAATCACTTTGTTTTGAAATGTGCATGTGAAACATTAGTCCAAACCTCTGTAAAGGAAGTTTTTGCACATGTAGTTAGATATTAATACACATGCTACCCACATGAAGAACTGCAGTATTCATTTGCAGGCCTGCATTGCATGCATGCTTCCAAAACATTGGTTTGAAGTACAAACATGAGAGGCAAAGAAAGAAAGGAAAAACCAAGCCAAAAAAACCAAACAAACACAACCCCCACCCCAAACCCCCACCTAAATTAAAAAAAAAAAAAACCCTAAGTATAAAAGACTTAAGTTTCCTCGAGGCATCAGCAGCTCCTTAATTAAACAAATCATGAGATCATCACCAGATAAATGGCAGAAGTTTCCAAAAGTTGCCAATGGTACAAAGATAAAAAAAAGCTTTGTAGTAAAACTCTCAGAAATTAACCTCGCATGCAGAAAAGTAATAAATCCTCAAGAGTACCAAGATTAATGATCCATAAGTTAATATGATAAATAATGAATTCTGAAAAAGCCTTTCATTTGCTTTTTCTGTGCCATTGACTATTAATCAAAATTAAGAAAAGCCTCACCTAGAAAACAGAAACAAAACCTTTAAACTCAAAAAGCAAAACCCCCACCAATGCTACCTTTGATAAAATAAAACAGAAGCCAAATGGATAGTTTCAAGAGAGTTGGCTAACTAACAAACTGAACACAGCAAAGTATGAGCTCTAAAGTATAGAGAACTACTGTCATCGCCTTTGAAGGCAGGAAGACACGTAAATATAAAAGGTATCAGGAGAGATGGGCTACCACGGAGAAATGAAACCACTCTCTGTTAAGTCTAAATTCTAACATTAAAACTCCTGAATCCCGGAGTTAGTTTAATGTCACTGACATTAACAAGCTTTTGTTATTGTCATTTTTTCCAAATGGATGCCATTTGATTAGGTTAAGTATTGAGCATTATTTTCAGAGAAAAACCAAACTCCATTCCTATTTGCTTAGGTACCATGTCCCCTGAACAAAAAATGAAAAAGGGAGCAAAGTATTTTAGGGCAGTTTTTAGATGAAGCTATAGGAACTAAGAAATTTTAAAGCTACCATTCAAATTTCTGATAGCAAATGACCCAGGGTAAAACTGAAAGTGGAAACAAGCCAAGGAAAGGGTATTATGGATATTAATAAAAAAAGACCAGTGTAAACTAACAGCAAGTTTGTTAATATCACATGCAGAGCAAGATTACACTTTCCCATCCAGCTTTAGGTAGTGCTCAAACTAATAATGGAAGGAAATAAAGATAGATATATAATGCTGCGAAAGGAGAAATTAGATGGAGGAAAGAAGAAAGAACTGCAAGTTGACAGTCATCCTAGAGGGCTTTCAACTTTTAAATAAATTAAAACAGTTCCTTCTAAATGGAACATGGCAGCTACCAGGGATCATCCTTATTCTGAAGGAGGGAGAAAAGGCAGTCATAAAGACACCAACATACTGACCAGCTGCACTCAAATCCCCACGTGGAAGACACCACACAATTCTCACTATTCACAAGAGCTGCCCAAAGCGACACTGCACTTCTGAGAGTAAAATCTCCTACTTTCACAGTATGCTTTCATACGTATGGTTCTCTCTGTGACCACCTGTTCAAATTCAGAAGCAGTTATATGGGAGGAAAGTTTGCTTACCAGGTTTCTCATAATACTCTAAAGAAAAATAATGTATACAACTTCATGTTTAAAGTCTTCATGTTCATTACAGACTAATTAAATCTAGTTCTAAATAAAATCCCAACTTCAAATAACAAAGCACTATACCTCTATAAGTGATAAACTGTTCAAGTTTTCTGCAAATGAGGGACTGTGGGAAACAAGCATAAAGGTTAGTATCAGCAGATGGATGCTGACAGGTGCCTGCTTGGATATGAATGCTGTCTCAGACTAGATACAGGCTGGTGAACACTACCATCTGACAATACAAAGACATACAAGTTTTATGTCTTTGTTAAGCTTTCGTTCTTCACTTGTGTGATTATGTGAAGTTCTCAGGTTTCTTTGTTGTTTTTTCTTTCCATGTTATTTGACCAGCAAATTCTGAAGTGTAGTAGCCTTGATTTTTCTTAATGTTAACAGTGGGAAGGTGGTGAACAGGATAGCTAAGGAGGTGGCTGACTTCCTACTGTAATATACAATTGTCAGAAATAAAATACCTAAACAGTACAGAACAGTACAAACAGGCTTTGGCTTTCATCAACCACTGAGTTTAATCCATCTGTGATTCTCTGTCTGAGTTTTTGTACGGTAATGGTAGTCACTGTATGCCATTATCCTGGCAAATACATTTCATATCTAAAGAATTCAGGAGGGCAATGTGTTCTTTGTGCAATAAGAAATGCAAAGTAAAATAAATCCTGGGAACAAACGCTTCAACTTTTGGGAAAGTGTGTCTATGATCCTGGTACCCCATCCAGACTTCTTTAATATTGTTTTCTAATTTCTCCCATTTAGTCCATCCTCTGGCTTCTGGATCAAGGCTCTGTATACTCAAGTAAGAAAATTACACTAAGTGATAGGTGGGGCAAATTCATGTTAGTGCAAGGACTCAGCTCACAAAGTTTTACATGTATATATACCATTCCGAAGAAGTGAAGTTCACAAAAAACTCTTTAACAAGGTCTTCCAGTCTTTGAAGAAGAGAAGTACGGTATAAAGTGTGACAATCACCATTCATGTGAAACTTTCCAACCTTTTTCCTTTTAAAATAACAAATATGCTAAATATGTATACTTGCAGGTGGACTGGTAAGCTTCTCAGTTATTGCAGTTCCAAAACATTTTGAAGACTTTTTTTTTTTTTTTTTAACTAAAAAGGCAAGTTCTATTCTCTGACTTTCAAACGTGTTTAAGGGTAAACTTGCAACTAACTGGGTTTTCCTTTTTACACTGTTCAGTTTTTAGTGTTGATGCACAAGACCTTAAAGATGGCTGATATAAGAACTTATGCACATTGAAAGAATTATCAAAAGGATCAAGACATTAGTTTTGAATGTCTCACAAGTTTCCAGAAAAAAAAAAGGAAAGCCACTGAGAGCTGTTATTCCATATGGCACTGAAACAAACATTCAACTTAGTTTAGGTAAGAGTTACTTATCCCTGAAAATAAAGGCATCAGATTCTAAGCAGCTTTAGGAATTCAATGCTTCTTTGTGCCTCTTCCAGGAGGTGACCACTGATCCAAAGTCTCAAATCAAATGCGAGTGTTCTCAGCAAACAACTTCCTTAGCTGTCACTGATCAAGGCTGGACATGGTGGATGTTACTGTGGTGGCTGCTGCTCTGGGGGTCCCTCCTGCTGGGGTGGGGCTGGTCGTGGCCCTGGAGGCCGGGGCACAGGCACATCCTGGTGCTGCCTCTGCCTGTAAGCTATCACTGTTCCCAGCAGCAGCGCAATGATGGTCATGAGGTAAAGGTCCCATTCAGGTCCCAGAATCTGGTCCATATCAAGTTGGGTGAACATATCTCGAATCTTAATGAAAATGACACAATAAAAATCATTATCACCACTAAAATGTCAGGGAAGGAACTGGGAAAGTTACATCACAAATCAGAAATAAGTACACAACTTAAAATAATTGGTTTGAGGAACACTTTACAATGTGTATTTAAAAAGAGAGTTTTAAAGCCTTCAAATGACACTCAAAACAATGTGTTTCAGGCACCAAGCTATTAATTTATAATAGTGGACATATCAAATATCTACCAGGATGTGTTCCATCAGTAACCTTGTACACTGATTTTTCAACCATTTTTCATAGGAACTATGAAACTATTTTCATAGAAACTAAAGGAACACTGGGACAATAGGGAGCGTAGCAGGGTAAATTAGTATCCTGGCCTGCCTGTCACCTACTTGTAATGAGTGAGTGCACACCAGCTGGAAAGCTCTGTTGTATGACAGTGGAACTAGTCCACTACTCTCTTGTAATGGAAGACTGCAGGAATTTAATAGTTGAGTGAATAATGCTCTTTTAGGTATAAATGAGATGCAAAATATTTGAACTTCAAAGTTTATGGTCTTTGTCTAGGACACTGTCATTGGTTTTGTGTCACTTAAGAGAAGTTATTCCTGATATTTTTCTGACTGCTACTTGTCCATAAAGAAAGTAAATATGGGGTATGATCCTTTATTCAAATAAAATTACACTTAAAAGTTCTCCATAACAGGCACTAAATCTACATTTTTTCTGGGGAAAAAATTACAAGAAACACTAACTATGTTCCCTGGACAGGAACCTGGGATGGGAAGTTTTGTGTTTTACTGTTTTTATGTTTGACTTTCTTACCATCAATACTTACTACTCTTGCATTTTTTTTTTTTTTTTAGTTGGAATATCTAGGTGATAGATTTATGGGATATTTTATTGTCTTCTTTGTACTTCTGTATTTAAAAAAAAACCCAGAAAAGATATATATGGGTCACTACAAAAGTTTTGAGACATAAAAATCAAAAAATGTAAAGTCTGTGTGGATGGAAACAAATGAAGCCCTTCCAGCAACTCTGATAACTGGAGCAAATTGAAACTTGCATGGGTGAATCAGAAAGGAAATGTCAACTGTGTTTCTGAGAAGCAAAATAATGGACCATAACACGGTCTGTCTCAAAACTTTCATAGTTACCCATGTATACTCAGTGCAGTGTATTGCCACATGAAAACTCAGACTGTAATCATAGCTGACAAAAACTGTGAGAGATGAGTCTGAAATAGTCCTAAGAGAGAAACAGTAGATTGCTGCACTATCAGCTGTTTAAAGGAACAAAGATGGTTCCAATTGGCAGAGGGTACACTATACTCTGGTTCATGCTTCCAAGCAATTATAGTAATTGACATTACATGTGTCTCAGAAACTGGAGAACAGAGTCCCACACGTCCAGGGCTCTGGAGCCTTATCTGTGGAAGACCTCAGTGGCGTGGGCTTGGGTGGCAAAAGAGAAGTCTATTTCTCTTTAGTGATGCTGGAGCTGTGTGAATTACATTTGTATTTGTGCAATATACAGTAATATTGGGAAATATTGCAATATTGGGAAAAGCTTGTTCTTGAATCTAATTCTAAAATGATAACTAACCTGCTTTGAGAGATATTACAGAAGGGTGAAACATCTCTTTTCTAGTCATAGTCAAACTAAAATTAAATAGCCCTTGTTTCTAACAAAGGCTCTGAACATTTTAGGGCTTTCCGAGTTAAATGCTCACCAGTTAATTCATCATTAGCAACTACAGGTACTGAAAACAGAACCCAAAAGAACTAACATATGACTAAACGCTGGTAGTTTTGAAGAGAATGGGTAACTTACCTCCTATGTAGATTCTATCATTAGCCTATTTAAATAATTCAAGCTATTTTAAGGGAAGAAAATTCTGGTGGCATTTTTAACTTATGTTTCACTATCAGAAGAAACGGGAGTATGACAGGCCGGGTAGGTTCATT